CTTTTAGAGGGTCATCACTAGAAATTCAAACATTGATTACACCTACGAATTTCAAAGGGCCTACAATAAAATACTCATAGAAGACCTTTCACCACATCTTCTACCGACTGAAACAAACTGTCTAAACTTTCATTCCTTCATTGAATGACCCATTTCTTGTGTTCAATACTTATCTTCCCTTCATTAAAATTTAATTATTACAAATAAGTGTACTTAACAAAAAGTGTTTTCCAACTAATGCATTACAATAAATTTCAAAACTTTCGCTTTCAAATTACTGTCATTTGAGTAGGGTTCTCTCCCGTCTGTCTTCCCTTACACGCACGCACTTATTTACTTTGCACAAAATCACTGAACTTAATTGGATAACTTTTTCTTCACTTTAAGTTCGAATTTCTTTTCGATACACTTTTTCCTTTAAAATTAGGACAAGAGTTTTTCGCTTACTTTCTACACAAAAAATTCGAAAAATAAAAAGAAAAGTATTTCATATCATTGAAGATGACTGCTTCCGACCAGGGACAGTGACATGTTTCTGACATTGATGTCTACCGCAACTGTCTGGTTATATTTTACAGTCAAATAATGGTCCTTAACAGGCGCAAAACCCTAACAAAGTAGCTTCTGAAATAAGGAGAGGGAGGAGAAAGCACACAAAAACAGTATCAAATAGAATGAACGCATCTTTTTTCCAGCAGGGGAGGGTGTTGTTGTTCAAGAAACATGAGAGGGTGAAAGATGACATTAAGTGGTTTTTATGAAAAAAAAAGAAAAACAACGAACACAACATGCTTTATTTTGCTGTTTCTTCTTTAAGGATATATCATCGGCAACATTATACGTTATGTGAAACAGCCACAACAACAATAAAGACAACAAGAACAAAACTACATGACAAACTTTATGGTTGGGAAATTGAAAGAAAATGAGTAAGAATTCAACATGAAAACGTATGACATAAAATGTTAGTATGTGTGTGTTGGTTCGTGTACATTAGCTACATGTTGTATGTCTGGCTGCGTATGTGACTAAATTTAATTTTTACGATAGGCAGACAAGAAAACTTTACAATTTATTTAATTACTATGCCAAAGGCGTGTCACGTGGATGTGTGTGTAGGGTAGTAAACTGGAAGCAGAAAACCGGAAATCTTTATGAGAGCTATCATATAAGATTATCGATTAGTTTGAAATAAACCAGATAAGAGACATAAAATCTGGAATAATATATTATAACTTGTAAGTCGCATTAATTGTCCCCACATACACACACAAAAAAAGGAAACAATTAAGGATGTTCGGTGTAGTTCAGCGAATAAAGTTATTTGTCCCAGAGGGAATACTCGTAATGACAGAGTAGGTTCTAATCTCTTTCTTGGATATTTCAAAATAATAATATACCGACAAGTAAATACGTGGTTAATAAAATCCAATATCGATTTTTTAAAAACACCCTATTGAAGTCATTTCAAAGGATCATAAACCGAACATTTTAATCATGAGCTTATAAAGAGGAATTTGTATACAGAACAACATACAGAGCGTCGGCCGGGCCGCAATTTTTGTACACTGCACCATGAGACAATAAAATATTCTATATCTTTTTAACAACATTCGATATTGTTTATTTCACAACAATTTCATTTGTTTGTTTTGTTGTTTTTACAATAACAAAATAAATTTAAACCAGTAAGAAAAGTAGTAAAGTCGGACTGGGCGTGAAAATCGAAAATATATATGGGAGCTATATCTAAATCTGAACCGATTTTCAGGAAATTTAACACACATCATTCTGAACCTAATTCATTACGCTGTGCCAAATTTCGTGGACTTTGGTACACCATTTACATAAATTCGGACGAAACTATATATGGGAGCTTTATCTAAATCTGAACCGATTTTCACGAAACTCCGCACACATCATTCAGGACCTAGCTCATTACGCTGTGCCAAATTTATTACAAATCGAAAGATATATAGGGACTTTGGTACACCATTTACATAAAATCGGACGAAACTATACATGGAAGCTATATCTAAATCTGAACCGATTTTCACGAAACTTCGCGCACATCATTCTAGACTTAATTCAGTAGGCTATGCCAAATTTCGTGAAAATCGAAAGATATATAGGGACTTTGGTGCACCATAAACATTAAATGCCAAATTTCATCCAAATCGGATCATAAATACGACCTGTTCACAAAAATACATGGACGGAGAGACGGACATGCGTAAATCGATTCAAAAAGTGATTCTATGAATAAATCATAAACTATATATTTTATAAAAACAAAATACCAGGTATGGACTGTATACCTGTGGAGAATAGTCCTTTATATATGGAAGACTTTTCGGTGGCTCTTTATTATACCCTACACAACTATGTTGTAACGCCGCGAAATATTGATCCTAGACCCACCATTAAGTATACCGATCTTCATATCTTGACTAGCTGAGTCGATATAGACATGTGTGTCCGTCCATTCGTCAGTCCATTATAATTTGTATGCACGATACAGGCTACAGCTATGGACCAATTCTCACGAAATTTTGCATGCAGGACGGGTTCTGGCCAAAGAAAATTTAATCCCTATTGTTTTAGGTAATGATCGGTTAATATTTAGGATATGAAATGGATCAACAACTTTATTTTTATATGTTTTTTTAGTCGCTCTAGAGGCTACAATTATGACCCGAACCCCACGAAATTGTGCATGAGGTTATGGCGAAGGAAGGCGATTATAATTTTCGAAAATGATAAGATGATAATTTGGGAATGAAATGGACCAGAAAATTTGTGTTTTTATCCGGTGTTTTAGTCTAGACGTCACAATTAAAAGCCGAACATAACAAATTTTTCAGGTAAAGTTATTTGACCAACTTATTGACACTCTAAATATCATTATCATGATGGACCACCATTTTTTCAGTGTAAAATAACAAAAATGTAATCTTATGAAATAATTTTTACTCCGGAAAAACATGATTCGAAAAAGATACCACATAGAAACTCTATTCGGTCAAAATAGTGCAAATGTCGCGAAATATTACCCAGGCTCGTAATATGGGTTCGCAGAAACATAGAGCTCGGTGGAAGTTGGTATCATATGGTCAACCCCGTCCGACTATACTGCTTCGCTCACTGGTTTTTTACTAAATTTACTTGATCTTGAGATTTGAAAAATATGATACAACATACTAAGTTTTGCTGATATTTGATTCCTGACATTCCTGTTGGGGTATGTTTTATTAAATATTTTCAGAATATTATCGATATGCTTCGAAATAGGCCCCGAAAATAATATCGGTAGTTTTATATTTTCTGCATTTCTCCAAACCAAGAGGCTGAACTTTGGCTTTCATAGTTCTTTGACTGTAAGAAAATATCTCTACCGCAAACTTTTCGTATAGAATCAGGTTTTGGTACAGTCCCCGCATAAGTTCCCGCTAAATTTTCGGCCTTTCAAACCAAAGTGGCCGTTATGTGGCACCCCAGGATCCTGGATGGTGAGAATCATTACCAATACATTATCCATGTTTTAAGGTAACCCCTCTATATTGGCATTCTGTGTTCTTGGGGGATAACAAACTTATATGCAGAAAATGTTGAAGGTGTGTTTCTAATTTACAATGTAGAATACGTCCAGGTTTTGACTACCTTCCTCTAAGGATCTCAACAGATTGCAGGTATTGTTAAAAACCACCCCATTGTGTAGAGTATAAATTGTTTGGCCTGGTTGAACATAACGAAGTTTATCCTTGTTTAACGTATTGCATTTAAAATTAAGTTTTTATAAATTAATTCATTAAATGTATACATTTTCATAAATTACATTGACCTCCATTTATCGAATATTCTATCAACCACCGATGAATACCACATTCGTTTTACATTGAAAATATATTTCAATGTAAAATCTTCAATCTCAAATTTCTTTGGAACATCTGCCTTCTTTTCTTTAGTATCTGTTACAAAATGCTCCTATAAAATCCATTTCGAGTGTATTCAAAATCTGTTTGTGTGTGCCTACGAACAGATAATTACCTCTGTTTCTGTTGCAAGTATCAATCAAATTTCACTTCAATCAAACCCAATATTCCATTCGTAATGAGTGTATCGGTAATATAATACCTATGAAACTAGGAATTGAAATTGGAGGCCAATAGCATCATCATTGTAAAGAAGGTCTTTCATAGGTTTTATTGTTTAGAAAGGCTGGCATTCAAACACACACACACACACATGTAAATTTCTCAGAATAACAACAACAGTAGCAGTAGCAGCAAAATAAATACATACTCGTATGTGAATATTTACCACTTAAATTTATTTTGGAAATTTTTATGGCCTGAACCGCTGCTGAAGACTTCGTGACGGGAGTTGAGGGAAGTAAATTAAGTGGCACATGTGTGGTTCATTTATTTGGGGGTCTTAAATTTTTATTAAAGCATAACATGATAAAAGGAATCTCTGCATAAAATTTAATGCCACATTATTTCGTCTTCGTCTTTATGGGAGAAAATGTATTTGGCTATTATTTTTATTATTATGGGCAATCGACGACAACAACGTCGACAACAACACATAACCACATTTCTGAGATTGTTAAATCTCTGTCAATGATGCAAATTTAAAGAAAGGGCTTTTGATACGCAAAAAATAAAGACATTTTCCTTGGGATGGCTTTTCATTCCAAGACGACAATGTGGTTGCTTTATGACCTGATCTCCTTCTTTGTTATGAACTTCGTCTTCGTTTTCTACCACGTCGTACCGTCAGTTAGGTGGCAACAGGATATGTTCGCTCTCGCACAACATTTCATTTCACACTGCCAGCCTGCTGCCTAGTAATTGAATAGAAATTGAAGGCGTAATAAAATGACAGGATAATATCTGGAGCAACAGTTAAATATTTTTATGAATAGCTTTTCTGTATGAACTTTGTATGCATAAAGATGTCATTACCTCCATTCATTGTCTGTTTGCTTTTCTTTACAGGGTCAAATGATGTACATACCGGAATCAGATCGCATTTTATTTCAATGCTATCCAAGTGTAATGAATTTAGATGATTTGACAAAGTAAGTAGAGATGGAAATCTTTTTTTATTCTTCTGAGAATTATTTTTTTTTTCAAAGAATGTATTTTAGATGGGGAAATATAATTCGAATAATATAAACATACATTGTAGAAAATATAACTTTAAATTACCATAGGAACTCACACTTTAAAGAATTTGAGAATGGGACCATTTAGAGGGGTACCTCTTTCGAAGTGCTGAGGAGAAACTTATGGACAAGTGGAGGAAAGTCTTGGAGACTATTTGAGGGGAGTCTGACTAGGTACAGGAAATCTTTAGGGGAGAGGATCCTTTGTAGACTACTTTAAAGGAATTCTTACATACGAATTGAAAGGTGTCTTTATGGATGAGCTAGAAGCACTTTTAATATAAGAGCTGAGCGACTTGTAGGATATTTTTATAGACTCGCTAAAGTGTATCTTTAATAGACGAGTTGAAGGGTGTCTTTGTAGATGACCTAGGGGAAGTATTTATAGATGAACGTCATTATAAACTTCATGGATACACTAAAACGTGTTGGGGCTGTTTTTTAGACAACTTGGAAGAAATCTTTATAGACAAACTGAATCTGAAAGTCTATAATGTAATTCTTTATGGACGAGCATATGATAGTTTTAAAGAAAATCTGAAAGGGAGATTTCATAGACAAGCTTAGAGGAGACATGATATATGAGCAATGGAGTCTTTATAAACGAGCGGAATGGCGTATTTATAGATTAGCTGAAGGAAGTCTCTGCTGAAACGACTTTCTATAGACGCGCTGAAACAAGTTTCTATAGACGCGCTGAAGAGTGTCTCTATAGCTGAGCTAAAAGGAGTTCCTTTAGAGAAGCTGAAGGATGTCTTTATAGACGCATTGAAGGGAGTCTCTATAGACGCGATGAAGGTAGTCTTTATTGACCGGTTGAAGGAAATTTATGGACGAATCTTTATGAAGAGATGACCGAAGGAAAGATGTGTGGGTTTCTAGATTACATGAATGCAGTAAGGTATCTTTATTGGCGATCTAATAGACGAACTGAAGTCTGTTTTATAAGCAATTTAGTACTTGAAGATGATGATGTGAAAGGAGTCTCTAAAAGCGAGAAGACTGGTCTAATTATAGACAAGATACTGCAGAAAGCCTTTATGTGTGAGAGTTTCTGTAGATTACATGAATGCAGTAAGAAATAACCACGAAAGAGTCATTGAGTCTTTACATATGTCATTTCATTTCGTCTATATAGAATGCCACGTCTGCAGTTCGTCCATATGGACTGCCTACTCTTCAGCTCGTCCATATGGACTCCTAGCCCTTCAGCTCTGGTCTTTAAATACTCCATGCCTTTAATCTCGTCTATACTGGGTGAGCATATAATTTGGAACTAAGAACTCTCTTGTCAAAAAATAGCTATAATCCCCTCAGCTATATTAAAATATAGCCTGTTTCAGTTCTTCTCAGGGACTGATCATCGGTACGTTTATAACGACTCCATGTTTTAATGACAATACCTGTCAGCAGTTTCCTTTTAAGATTCATCTATAATTACTTCCTCAGTACCCTGGAGGTTAGATCATCTATATGGACTTCCTTGCCTCGTCTACACTTAGCTCGACTATATACACTCCCTGGTATAGACTCCCTGACCTTCAGCTCATATATATAGACGCCCTGCCTTCAGATTATCTACATGCACTCCCTGGTTTTTAGCTCAACTATATAGACTTCCGTCTAAATAAAGTCACCTCTATTTAGACTCCCCTATAAATAAACTCCCCTCTATTTAGACTCCCGTCTATATAGACTCCCTGGAATTCAGCTCGTCTATATAGACCCCTGGCCATCAGCTCATCTGTATAGACTCCCTGGCCTTCAGCTCGTCCATATAGACACCCTGGCCTTAAGCTCGTGTATATAGTCTTCCAGGCATTAAGTTCGTCTATATATACAGCGTGAACTTTAACTCGTCTACATAGCTCTCTATCTATGCCGACTCTTTACACTTCCGCCAGCCCATATGGCCTCCCTGCCTTCGAGCTCGTCTATGTGGACTTTCTGTTCTTTTTGTGGTGACTATAGATTACATACCCTTCAGCTAACATATATAGTCTAGCTCCCTGGTCATCAACCTGTCTATGTAGACTTCCACATTGTTTGTCTGTCATTGTTTGACTCCCTAGCCCTCGTAGATTCCCTAAACTTTAGCTCAGAATTTTCAGAATTTCCTGATCATTAGCCCGTCTAATTAAATTCTCTGAACTTAACTCGTCGATATGGACACCTTAATAATTAACTCGACTTTATGGGCAACCTATACTTCAGATTGCCTCCCGTCAGCTCGCCTATGGAGACTACTGGCCGTCAGCTTTTCTATTTAGTTCGCATACAGACTCTCTGGCCTTCAGTTCATCTATACAGACACCCTGGCCTTTAGCTCTATATTAACAACCTGGCTTTCAGTTCGTCTATACAGACATCCTGCTATTTATCTTGCTTATTTACTTGGTTGCCAGGTCCTCTTGAAAGGCCTTTTATAGAACTCCCTGTTTTTTCTGGTTACAAGGAAATCCGATATATCTGGAATAGTTGGAGTCTTTGAGATGGATGCTTGGATTTTTTATACACTAGCTTGAGCCAAGGGAACTTTGTAGTGCATCCTCATTGATGAGCTGAAGGTCAGGAAGCCTGAATGGTGGGATTTCTACAGAATTAAGGAATATAGGTTTAATTAATTCAAACTTAATAAAAGCGTCGAAAAGCATATTTCAATATTAAATACTTCTTCATTTGCTCGTATATAAACATGATGTCCTCAGCTAATCGTTCGTTCATTTTTGTCTCATCTTTGTGATTTCTTTCAGGTCTTAATTTGAGACCCAATTTTACTCCACTACATTGATGTACTACAGATCGACTGATTCATATCATTTGAAATAACTATTACCCGCTAGTCAATAATTAAACCGATAATAATTGCATTTTCTTCTTAAGGAAATTAAAAAAAACTGGCACAAACAATAGATGGCAATTTAACACATCCGTGAGCGGAATACACATCTGTGCTAAACACAAAAACAATTGTCACTAATCACACTAAAAGTGAAAAACTAATCGCCTTAAAAGAAACGTTCAATAATTTCCGTTTTCTTTGATGGTTATCGGTTTAAGAACATCCACAGAAAAAAAAACAAACACATCAAAGGTCGTCGTTGCCAAAATTCAATTAAAAAGTAGACAATGGCCTAAACTGGCTGCTGGTACATGATAGAGGATATACATGTATGTTTGTATGTATGTCTGTGTTGTATCACTTTGATAGAAGGCAATTCATTATTACAATCGACAGTATATCGAATTCACTGCCAGAAGGAACAATTTCTGTGGATACAATTGTTGGTTGACCCCCGGGTGCTTGTTTAATAGTCAACTCCTCAGGCATAGCGCAGCATGCAGTCGTATAAGTGTACATCTGCCATTGCCATCATCCCCCACCCGCCATCTCTGCCTGCACGCAGCCTGGCTGCCATCCATGTCAGCTATGCTTTTCACTTTCTTCAACTAGACAGATGAACGATAGATGTTTATTGTGTTGAACTTGACGTTGTTGGCGATGTTGTTGTTGTTTTTGTTTCTTGTTGTTTTTCCTGCAATTTGTCATTGGTAAATGGAAGTTGTATTCCATAAGCGTTTCTAGGATTTTATTTTCTACTATTTCATTTTGCTCATTCATGCCATTTGTTGTTGTCGGTTTTTATTATTATTATTTCGTATTTTTTTTTAGAATGGACAACATTTTGCAGAGTCTACAAAGTTTGCGCTACAAAGTTGATGAGATTGTTGTTGTTTTTTCTGTTGTTATGTTACTGCAATTGTTATAAATGTTATTCGACAAATTCACTTTCGTTCACATGACATGTGTCATGGTATGTTACATACACACGCACACACCCATACATATACATGCGGACATCTCTGAATTTCGATGTCATTGCCGAAATAAAGAATTATTTCACCCGAAAGGCCTTTTCCTATGAAAGATCTGAAATTTTCAAGTTCATTGGTATGTGTCAACAATGACAGTTTCACTTTAAATTGTCTGCATGAAATTTGTTAGACATTATTAGGGTGTTTCGGGTAGAAAATGAAATGAAAATGAAAAATTATATAAACAGTTAATTAATAACAAACAATCAAATTAGTAACTAGTCTACATCTCGTCCATATAGACTCCCTGGCCTTCACCCCGTCTTTTACATAGTGTCCTTGGCTATCAGCTCACCCATATAGATCTGATCATCAGCTCGTCTATGTAGACCCTAGCATTCACATTGTCTATATAAAATCTTTGGTCTTCAGCTCGTCTATATATAACTCCTGGCCTTCAGCTCGTCTATATAAAAACTCAGGCCTTCAGGTCGTCTTTCATATCGTCTATATAGACTACCTGGCCTTCAGGTTGTCCATATAGAATCCCTGGCCTTCCACTCGTCTATATAGACTACCTGGCCTTCAGGTCGTCTATATAGAATCTCTATCCTATAGCTCTTCTGCATATACTCCTTGCCTTCATCTCATCTATATAGACTCACTGGCCATCAACTCGTCTATGTAGACTACATGGTCATAAACCCCTCTATATAGACTACCTGGCGTTCAACTCGTTTTTATAGACTCCCTGGCGTTCAACTCGTCTATATAGACTACCTGTCCATATACCCGTCTCTATAGACTCCCTGGCGATCAACACCCCCTGGCGTTCAACTCGTCTATATGGACTTCCTGGCTTTCAACTCGTCTATATAGACTCCCTGGCCTTCAGCCCGTCTATATAAACTCCATGGCCTTCAGATCGTCTATATAGACTCCGTGGCCTTCAGCTCGTCTATATAGACTTCCTGGCCTTCAGCTCGTCTATATAGACTCAGTGGCCTTCAGCTCGTCTATATAGACTCCCTGGCCTTCAGCTCGTCTATATAGACTCAGTGGCCTTCAGCTCGTCTATATAGACTCCGTGGCCTTCA